TCCAACCTGTGAGGGCGAGCGTGGGGGGTGGTGGTGAGCCAGCTATCGACAATCACCGGGTGCACGTGTCATCCCAGGTCCCCAGGCAGTCAGGTACCAGGGATGGCACTTCCAGGACTGGGTAACGACAGCGAAAGATTGTTGGAGGAGATATTGAGAATTAATGGCAGGGATAGGAAGTACTAGGGAGGACATAAAACAGCGACCTGGAGCTTGACCTGGACCTGGTTGATACGCCGGGGACTCGTTTCAGTCTGCTACCCCAAAAATAAGTAGGTAAGGATAAGGTGACTTGCATTGAATTCACCTTCCCTTTTTGGGGCGGAGAGGTTGACAGATCAAGCTCCGAAGATGTAAACAGGTAGGTAGATGATGTGAATAAGCTTTGATACATACCCAATCCATGTGGGTACGTAGGCATGCGTGGACGATGGTGGGTTTCACGTTGTTCCTTGTCGTGGATGAGCGGTAGGGATTGTCTGCGATATCGCTTCTGCGTTGGGAAGACGACATGGGGTGGGTGTAGATCACTCATTACACTCCAGAACAAAGTCTAGGCTGGATACTAGTTTCGAGATACCTACCTCTACGGGACCGTGCTGACGATGGATGGGTCGTAGAGTACAATACGAGGTATTGGAAGCCGGCTATCAGAAAGGCTAGACACAGAACAACAAAGGCATACTCCGCGGTGTCCTTATCAGACTACATACTGCATTCGCCAATCGACGGCAACTTGAAGTCTTTGAGGTTGCTCCATTTAGTAACCTCAACATTGGAATCCCGATTCCCACCGATTTACCGTTACGTGTGAGAAGGTCGAGTAAACCTGTCTCCTCCATTTCTCCGCTCTTTCTTCCACAGGGAAATTGTGCTTATCTACTTCCAGCTTTCGGAAGGACCATCCGTCAAAATGGCGATACCTTATGATTCCGAGATCTGAATGACCCGCTTCTGCCATTACAACATCCTTCCGTATCGCATTTCTTAAAGTTCCGACTTTGCTGACTGGCAATGCTGGATCTCGGCACTCACAAAGTTGTCGGTCCCGACCATGACATTGAATCTTAGAGCTGAGGAGGTATGCTTTGGTTTCACCCTCATTTTCATCAAGTAGGAGGGAATGATTTCTATCATCTTATCTCCACCTTTTCCGCAATCGCTCCTCGCCTACTACCTTCTATGATATCGAGACAGAAGCCTTCTTGGAAAGCCACAAAGTCATCGCGATAAATTACCGAGGGTGACGGCCGCGCCAGGGACTCCCGCGATTATCTTCACCTTTACTTCCGTTTGATCCAATCCGCTGTTGCGCTGGTGGCTGAGAAAGGTCCGTCCTGGAAGCACCCCCAGGTCCCGCCTTCAATTCCACTGCGTCGTCTCTTTTCTTCCGACCTCATCAGCCAAGACTGTATTTGGCCAAATTGTATACGACGGTAGCTTCAGTTTGCTTATTGTAGGTCTTCTTGACGAATGACTTGGATTTCTGCTAATCGTTCTGACCCAACTCGCTGTCTAGACCTTCTCCTCCTCCGGGAACCGCTCCGTAATCTTGACCCACAAGTCGGACTGGAAGCACATGTTGACATTGAATTCATGCCACGGGCTCTTGGGCTCCACGAGCTGGAGATCGAAGCGACGGAAGAACTAGGGCAAAGAGTGGTCAGTATCGGACCGCAGAAGGGGGTGTACTGGCACTTGCTTACCTCGAAAAACACCTTGCTCAACTCCATCAGTGCCACAGGCTTGCCCAAACACGCCCACCTGCCATAGCCAAACACCATCTCGGTGGTCTGCTGCATCTCCAGCCGCTTGGCCGGCTCGGCATTCAGCCATCTCTCGGGGCGGAAAACATCGACATCGTCACCAAAAACATCTCTTCTTCTGATCAGGCCGCCAAAGTTGTGGCCGACGCGAGTGCCCTCGGGAATGAATATGCCGTTGATGAAGTCTCCGCCCTTGGGTGGTGACTTCATGCATAACCCGGAGAAAGGTGCTTGCATGCGCAGTCCTTCATAGACGCATGCCTGCAAGTACTCCAAGTGCTTCGCCTCTTCGGCTCTGATCGGGCTCGAAATCTTTCCCTCCCTAACAGCCCTGTCAATCTCCTCCAGCAACCGCACATATGCCTTCTTGCTCGTCGCCAAATGGAACAAGGTCGACCTGACCGCCACTGCCGTCGTGTCGCTGCCCGCTAAAATTTGGAACAGGACCTCGACCTCGCACGCCTGCTGCTCAATGCCATGCCTAACAAAGCTCCCCAACATGTCTTTGCGATCCTCCGCCTTTTCGCCAAACCTTTTCGCCACCATCTCCCTCGCCATGCCCATGACCCTCCCCATACCGTTCGCATCACTATGCTTCGGCCCAAACCACTGCAAGAACCACTTGGACAAAAAGATCTTTTGCAGCAGCGGGAGTTCCGCCATCAGGCCATTGGGCGGGACCGCCTTCCTGACCGTGCTCGTCCACTCAAACTGGTCCGAGTCCGTCTTCAGCCAGCCGAACTCCTTCCCGTACGCGATACGCGTGATCACGTCCAAAGTGAAGAACTGCGTCACCTTGGCCAGGTCCATCCTCTTCAAGACGCCCCGCTCGTCATCAGATATGTAGCGCGACTTGATATACTGAATCAGCGTGCCGACTACCTCGTCGATATCGCTTTCCAAACCCGGGTTCTCGCGCCCGCTATACCCGAAAGATAAGCGCGCCTTGAACAAGTCGTGTGTCTTTGTGTCAGGCTCATCAAACAGCGAGCCACCGCGCGGGTCAAGCGTCATGGCGCGGTACCAGTTTGATCGGCCCCAGGCGGAGCGGGCGCCGTTCATGTGCCGGATGACGGCCGGGTCATCGGTGATGAGGTCTGTAGAGCCGATGCGCACGAGAGGAGATTGATATTGCTGGTTGAGGCGGCTGTAGCCGTCGCCGTGGTGGCCCGAGAACAACACTTTCAGCATAAACAGGGGGGAGAAGGAGGCAAAGAAGGGGCCCGGGAAGTGGGAGAGGCGCCGGTAGGCAATGATGGTGGAAACCAAGACGTAGGTCACGAGAGAGGCGGCCAAAATGGGTAGGGCGTAGGGCCCTTGGGCGAGGGAAAGGAGTTCTTGGAGCATTTTGGCAATGGCAGTGCTTTCCGAGAGGAGCCAAACTGCAAGAAGAGACTGCTACGGAACTGGAGCTGGGACTTGAGCACTATCGGCGTCGCACGCTCGACTTTATACATTATCCCATGGTCCACTACTACAAACGTAAGTGGAAGTCACATCCTTGCCAATTTTTTTGCTGGGAACCCTAACGTTCCAGTGCACTTGTGTCCTCCAGGTTTCCACGCATTAAGAACCGCCACATGCTACACGGCGAGGATTAAATAATCCAGAATGCGACTTCAGTCTGCATGTTTAGTAAACAAAAAAGAATCGGTGGGGGTGAAATGATGCCGGTTGAAGAAAGAATCGACGACAGACAGTTCTCGGCATTTGTTCCGTGGCCGTTGTGGCGTCTTCGGTAGTCATGGATGAGTGTGACCCTTGCTGCTTTGCGTTACATCGATGCCAAAAATATGCACGCTGAAGGGGGAAACTGAATGATTGCAACCGTGATATGTATAATGCCTGCCTCTATCCCAGGTTGAAGTACCCAGACTACAAACTATCGGTGCAGGACAGGATGGGATATTGTCTTGTGTCCATCATTGCTTCAAGTGTCGATATCAGGCCAATATTTGACCTCGGCATGACTTCCTTCCCCATGGGGATTGGTCGGTACCCCCATAGCTTACCTCCACTAACACTTCCAAGAGTAAACGTTAGACGCCAGTGAAGGCTGTCTTGGACGTAAACCTCGAACGTTTTGCCAATGTGCTTTGTAAACGCGACTATAACTACACCACGCGCATCTCAATATTCGAGGTATCATGTCAGTGCCGATGATACTGCACAGCGTCGATCTCTCTTCGAATCTTAATATCTGCCCTGCCCTGGTAACTCAAACGCAACGTGAAAACTGTTCCTTAGCATGATCCTTACACTACACGATCGATAATAGTAAAAAGCAAAGTACAAAGACATGCGCAGATCAGGTACCAACCGTCCTCATCATAACTTTTTTTTTCATTTTTAATCCGGGATAAAGTCATTCGTGGCTTCGCACACCACGTTTATGCCTGACCGGAAATGCCATGGCACGAGAAGAGATACTACAAACAGAGTACCAAAGTCAAACTAGTCGTTTCCCCAGATATGCCGCCGCGCGGTGGTACCGTTCCTCTCGTACCATACCGAGGTAATGGTCCCTCCCCCCTTCCTGCATGCAGCCAGGCAGGCAAGGCAGGATGCAACTTCCCCAACCTGTCCGTGAACCGAAAACCCCAAATTCACAAAGAACAAAAGCAAAAGATAAAAAAAAGACGAAAATGTGTCCCGCCAGGAGTCGAACCTGGACCCTACTGCACACAGAAAGCCTTCGAAATGACCTTTGAAGTTAAATTTATTGCACTGCCCGTCTACGACCTAGGCCACTGCTCGGGCTGCGTAGTGTAGGTAGGGTGATGGCCGCTTCCAGGACGAGAAAATAACTACGGACGGTTGGTTATATACCTTTGTTTGAGTCGAGGTAAGTTTTGGTTTTGGTGCTGGGAAGGATATTAGGTTGAGTGCTTGGTATTATAGAGGGAGGTATCCAGATGTGCATCGCAGGTTGCCTCGTTAATTTGTCAATAGAGGTAAGTAGGTAGGCAGGTAGGTACGTTTTTCGTCATGAAGCATTCCCCTTTGTTATATGCGCAGAGGTATTGAGTCGGAGGTATATTGAGGAGGTGATCGATGCTTTGGATAGGTACCTAGTCATCGCGCACGTCACCATCAATCATCCACAGCAATCTCCAACACCATTGCATCGCCGTCACCTTTTCAACCTAGGTAGGTCTAGGGTAGGTATCCAACAGCCATCATCACCACAATTATCACCACCATCACCGACTTCACATTCTATAGGTAATCAGTAGAGTAGAGTACGCTCCATTCCCCTCATATCTCCTCCTCCAGTACTCCTCTATATCGATACATGACCCTCTCGATTTATCCATCTGCACTACTCCCCAGGTAATCCCCATCCCTCTCCAAAACCCTCACCTTCACCCCCGTCAACATACTCATAAAATACCTCTCCATGTTTTCTTCGTCTGGCATGTGTGTGACTTCGACCCGAAACTCCGCTACTAATCGCGGTATTACTTTCCAGACTATTAGCTCGGCTAGATGGCGGCCGGGACAGGTGCGTGCGCCGCCGCCGTAGGTGAGGTTTAGGTGGAGAATTTCGCGGAGTCTTTTCTTTTCGTCTTCGTTTTTGGTGTCGGTGTCGTTTTGGGTTTCGGTTTCGGTTTCGTTTTGTTCTGTTGCGAATGTGGATGCGGCGCCGGACCCTGACGGGGATCTGGGCGCGGGTGCGGGATCGGGCTCGGAGTCGATATCGTTGACATTGTTGACATCGCAGCCGGCATCCGAGTTGGAGCCGGCGTTTGATGATGATGAGACGGGGTGATGGGACATTTCCGAACTGGCTGGAACTGAAGCCGCCGACGACAACCACCGACTCGGATTATACACGTCCGCATCCTCCCCAAAAATGTCCGGGTTCCGATGCAGCGCCACAGGATTACACCCCACCGTCGTCCCCTCGGGGACCCAGTGTCCATGCAGCATTACCCCTCCACCCTGCCCCCGCGGAACAGTCCTCGAAAGACTCATGGCGATGACAGGATGTAATCTCTGCGCCTCTTTGATGGCCGCTAGAGTATAAGGCAACTGTCTAGCCGTGGTATCAAACGGCACCGTCCCACCACCCCGAAGATGGGAACCAACTTCCTCAGCGACTCTTGCTTGAACGGCCGCGTGTGTCCCAATCATAGCCATACAAGCCGTCAAAGCCGAACAAAGCGTCTCGTGTCCCGCGCCAAAGTTGGTCATTGCCATTCTGCGCAGGTACGTCTCGGTGAACTGCTCCGGCTTGGATTGATGCAGTCTTATCAGATCTTCCAGCAAATCCTGTTTCCCTTTATCTTCCTCCTTCTTACCCTTACCAGGTTTATTCTTGCTGCTCGGTTTCTTCACCACCTTCACATCTTCACTCATCCACAGCAGCGCAGCCATCGACACCCGTCTCGACACCTTCTGATAAACAGCCGTGAAGAACGGCTTGAACCCTTTCGGTGTAGCGAACGTGACACCCCAAGTATTAGACCACCACCTAGCCACTCCTTTTCCCACCTTTGCGCCCATTCCGAAAGGACCCCCCTCCATAAGCGAAAGGATCGTAATTCCCGGAAACAGGCCAAATACCGACTTGCGCTTCCATCCCAAATATCCCTGGGTACTTGTCCCGCCGTCGGACTTGTCGCGGATGTACCCTGGTGACCAACTGAGGACTACGGCGCCGAGACACTCGACGGCGATGATGTGCATCCATTCTTTGAGATCGACTTCTTGGCCTTGGAGGGTGCGCAGTTGGGCGATGGCGCGATCTAAGACGGCGTCGATTTGGGGTTCGAATTTCTTGAGGGAGGAGAGTTGGTAGAGCGGGCCGATGAGACGGCGTTGGAGGCGGTAGCGGGGGAGGTGGCGCTCGGAGAGGAGGTCGAGGGTGTCGGGGTGGTGCTGCTGTAATTGGAGACTGGGAAAGGGGAACTTGAAGGGGGAAAATTTGAGGGAAAGGGTGGGTTTGGTGAGGAGGGTTGAGACTGCGTGCGTTGGGTTAGACTTGCAACTTGTGGGATTGGGAAAAAGGGGGGCAAGCAAGTGAGGGAGGGGGAAGAATCTAGAAGGAGGGAATGAACGTACGGTAAAAATCCGATTTCTCAAATCCACTCCCAGCACCTATTGAATCCCATTAGCATCATGTCATAGTCCACTCAGTGAGTGCACATCTCATCCACTGAAAGGGAGAAGGAACCTACTATAAATAGTCTTAAACGCCTCCTTACTATCAAACCAAAGTTCATTAGGACCAACTCTCACCACGGGTCCATAGCGCTTATGTAGACTTTTGCCCAACAGGTACATGCGACCGTTGCGAGCATGATAAGCGTGCCAGATATTGGAAAGGGCAGCTAAACGAGGCCCGGGAACGCTGGCGAGGGGATGGAGATAGAGTCGGTATACTGCGATGGCGAGGATGACAACAACGATGACAAAAAGAAGCGATGTAGTTGCTTTTAGGAGTAGTGATGTAACTCTTCTGAGAAGTGGTGTGGCTGTCTTGAGTAGTGAGACTAAAGTCGTGAGGACGTCTTGCAGTGTTGGTAAGGACATGGTGGTGAGTGAGGATGGGAGACTGGCGTTGAAAGTACAGCAGGGGCATAACACAATTAGTAGGGACATGTTTGTTTGTTGTTAATGCGGAGAGGCAGATGGCTGGTCGCTTGTAGCCTCCGTACTGTCAGATCAGTCTCGCGCAGTCCTTGAAATGAGCGATAGCGCTTTTGTATAATGAAGAAAGTCCAATATGTCAATGCTTCTTCAGCCGGCGTCCATCATGTTTCTCGTCGTGGTGGTCGAGAGGCAGCAGTGTTGTTATGTTGTTGCCTAGCTTGGAGTGATGGATAACATCATGAAATAGAAATTTTGCTGAAACAGAAACATTGACGGCGACGAATTTTGGATACGCTCCAGCTGCTTCAGGGTTAGGGCTAGGTATGCAATGTTAAGCATAGGGGCGACAAATGTCTGACACTGTCTGTCATCCAAAAAGAATGTAAATGGAATCATGTATTGAATCTCATGTATTAGAGTAGCCTGCCTTGTGAACGTAGTAAATCATCATCACAACATAATCAGTCATTACTTAGATCCCCTCCTTTCCCCTCGAAGTATCTCCACGAAGTATCGGTTTACTGAGGAGGACCGAGGCTGAGGATATCCAATCCATCCTTCAGCTGCGACTTGGTCGGCATCTTGTTGAGCTGCATCATCTGGGCACACTGAGCCATGGCGGGATCCTTGCCCATACTTGCCATGGCCACAACCGTCTCTCCCTTGGTGTAATAAGCCACCCACTTGCCCTGGTCAGGCTCGCCCTGGAGAACAAGGTCATCCCATCCGTGGTTCGAATTTCCGCAGTACCGAAGCTGTGCACCAAGCGCGCTCCAGAACACCGGGGTGAAGAACTCGGGCTTCAGGTTGGGGTGCACGATATGGTTGGCCACTGTACGGCCAGCGTTCTGGGCGACGTTGTAATGCTCAATGCGGACGTACTTGCCGTCACCACCGGGGCCATGGTAGGGGTAGGAGGCAATGTCGCCAATGGCGTACACATCCTTGAGTCCAACCACCGAAAAGCTCTCGTCGACCTTCAAGCTGCCGTCATCCTCAAGGCGGACCACGCTGTTTTCCTTGAGGTACTCGGTAGCTGGCGAAACGCCGACGCCCAGAATGACCATGTCGGCATCAAGCTTGGTTCCGTCCTTGAGATGGACTGAACCAACCTTGGACGGGTCGGCTGCTGATGGCTCGGCCTTGTCGACGCCGGCCGACATGTAGAACTTGACACCCTTGGACTCAATGTTCTTCCTGACAATGGCGCCCACGCGCTCCCCTAGCACGCGCTCCAATGGTTCCTTTTCCATTCCGATAATTGCCACATCATTTCCGTCAGACGTGCAAGCAGCGATCTCCATGCCGATAAAGGAAGAGCCGATAATGACAATCTTCTTGCCCTTCTTCTCGCCAATCGCCTCTTTGATGTTCTTGGCGTCGTGGACATTGCGCAGAGTGAAGATGTTGCCCAAGACCTGGAAGCCTTGAAGAGGCAGGAGCTTGGGGGTGCCGCCAGTGGCAAGGACCAGTCTAGAGTAAGGGAGTTGTTGACCGGACTTAGTCTTGACTGTCTTGCCCCCAAAATCGACACCGACTACCTCGTCCTGGACAAAGTCAATGTCTCCGGTCTTGAACCATTCGGCATCGCGCCATTGTAGCTTGTTGAGATCGGTCATGAGCGTCTTGCTGAGCTTGGGGCGGTCAATGGGCAAGTAGCCCTCGTTGGTGACGACGGTGATGGGGCCGGAGAAGCCTAGCTCACGCAATCCTTCCACGGCGCCGAGAGCACCGGAACCACCACCGACAACAACCACTCTGTCGGATAGAGGAGCTCCGGCAACCTTGCACTTGATCTTGGGCTTGCGATGGCCGGCCTTGATGGTCTCGGCATCACCCGTGATGTAGACGGCGCCGTCGCGTTCGGTGGCCTTGAAGACAGGGAGAGCATCGAGGGCAGGGGCGTTTTCAATATCGCCCGTCGTGGTGTTGAAGCAGGCTCCGTGCCAGGGGCAAGTCAGCTTTCCGTTGTGGCCCAGGACACCCTTGGCCAAGGGGGCACTACAATCGCATTAGTGAGACGGATTCCTTCCAGTCGCATGCCGCAAGTTACATACCCGTAGTGAGTGCATCGAGGGCCAATGGCCTGGGTCTTGCCGGCGGCGTTGAGAAGGAGGACCTTTGCATCCAAACCCTCAACCTCGACCTCCTGCTTCTCGCCGGGTTGGAGGTTGAGAGAGGTAATGCCCTTGAGCTTGTATTCTTGCGCCATTGTGAAGTGGGGTGTCGACGAGTATAGACGTGTTGTTCTTGTTGTTGTTGTTGTTGTTGGAGTGCGTAGGAGAAGAGAGAATCGAGTCGAGAGGACTTGTCGCTGGCAGGCTGATGAGAGGGGTCGAGAGAGGGGTAGAGAGTGGGAGAGACGCGGCAGTGCAATCATGGATGTCATCCGATGGCTGCAGTGGTCACAACTGGAATTCGATTGTTCCGTCGTGTACACAGCAGAGAGTGGGGGAAGGTATTGAAGAGAGGGATGGAGGGGTCATGGTGAAGAAGAAGAGGGTTCAGATAGTGACTGGGAGGTACTTACCTACGATGGGAGATGGGACTGGACGGGATCATTGATGTCACGGTAATCAAGAAACCATGATTGGTGAGCTCGCACTTGTGCGGTCCAGTTGCTGTGTGCCATCAACACTCACAATGGACAGAAGTGGGATGAAGTAGCAGTGGTGGGCTAACAGGAGGTACTTGAAGATGCACCTTGATGGCCACTTGCGATCTAGAGCGAGAGGGTGCAACTGTGACAGATCTGGCAGCTTAAAATCTATGATGACTTGAAATAACATAGGTATTCATCACTGAGTCCACCTGAGGTCTAGTTAATTAGACCTCAAAACCTTGAATGAAGTGGCATATCAACATCAAAGGGAGTGATGCTTGGAAACCAATGTTCCAGGGAATGGGCCTGCTTGATGTACCAATTGATAGAAGCTAGAGATAGCTCCCGCTTCTATGCGGGGAGTGCCTGTCATGTCGATGCCGTCATTGCAGTGGGTACTTACCTACCTCTAGCACTATCGAAGCAATCTGATTGGTTCAATTCGATTCTGTCAACACGAACGCGGCAGCTTCCATTTTCCATTTTCGACAAGCAACTGACTGCTCCACGAATTCCCCTCTTCCTTCCAACGTTTACCTCGACAAAACACCATGGCACTCCTCACTCCGGTCCTCTACTCCGGCTCCCTACGCTACACTAATCAACAGCCATCACAACTTGCTCCCCTTGTCTATCCTCTTGGCCAACTGCCGCAACTCCTTGCGCAGAATTTTCCCACTCGGACTCTTGGGTATGGCATCAATAAACACCACGCCTCCTCTTAGTTTCTTGTGGTTGGCCACTTTGCTGGCAACCCAATCCACAATCTCCTCGGCCGTGAGAGTCGCATCGCCAGCCACGACATACGCCCTATTCCACCCACCACATTAGCTTCCAATATCCGGTATCATGTTCGACTGACTCCTTTGACGAGACACTCACCGAGGAACTTCAGTCTCTTCACCGTCCACACCAATCACTGCCGCATCCGCAATCTTGGCGTGACTGACCAACAAGGCCTCCAGCTCGGCCGGTGCTACCTGGAGCCCCTTGTACTTGATGAGTTCCTGCGACTTCTGTTAGTCATCCATGTTGTCCATTAACCCAAAGTCACACCAGCAAACCACCATCATCTCTTACCTTCTTTCGATCGACGATGTAAAACTTGCCGTCTTTAAAGAGCCCAATGTCGCCAGTGCAGAACCACCCATCTACAAAGGCCTCCTTGTTGGCTGCGTCGTTCATATAATACCCCTTGGTCACATTGGGCCCCTTGACCCAAAGCTCGCCCGCTTGGCCTGGTTCCACATCCTTGCCATCGTCGTCAACAATCCGCGCCCGGCCATTCATCACCAGCATCGACACACTCCCCGTTTCGTCGTCGATCCCCCGCGGCATGGTTGTCATGGCGCCCGTCGTCTCGCTCAAACCCCATGTTTGCGTCAGATGTGCCTTGCCTTTTCCAAGCTTCTTCCGCGCTGCCAGTTGGAGCTCCTTTCCCATGGGAGCTGCCCCCGCCACAGCCCACTCCACCGAGTCAAACTGATCGGTCACCAGAGGGCTTTTGGCAATGGCCAGGTATATCGGTGGTACCGAGACGAGCGTCGTGATCTGGTATTTCTTGCTGTACTCGAGGAACTTGACAAGGTTGAAGCGCGGCATCCAGTACAAGGTGCCGCCCACATAGAAGCTGTTGACAAAGTAGCCCTGCACTCCCGCAATGTGGGCCGCCGGCAAGTGGGCGATGGTCCGGTAGTCCGCCGACATATCCCGTCCCCTTGCCTTCTCATACTCTCGAGCCGGATCAAGCACAAGACATGCCTGGCTTACCATGTTGGTGTGCGAGAGCCTGCACATTTTAGGCAAGCCAGTGGTCCCGCTCGAGAAGAGAATGCAGATTATGCTATTTTCAAGGGCTTTCGTGTCCGTGATACGTTGCCACTCCAACGTTTCGGTTGAGATGGGAATGGGTGTTGATTGTTCCAAGTTGGTGAGTTCGAGGTTCGGCTGTGATCCCAAAACAAGGACTCGGGAGCCAGGAATGTTGGCCAGCTTCGCCGCGGCTGCAGCAACTTCCTTGGTGTCTTCGTTACACAGGACGAGCTTTGCCCCGATCTGCTTGATCTGCCCAGCGAGCTCGGTAGCCGTGGATGCCGGACTTGATGCCGAGAAGATAGCGCCCGCCGCGATGGTCGAATAGAACAGACAGGGCAAGAGGAAGTGCCCTGACGAAATACACAACACCACATCTTTTTCCGGCCCGTCTTGACCAATGCCGTACCGTTGACGAAGGGTATAAGCCAGCCGCTTGACCAAGTGCCGAAGCTGGGCTTTACTAACTGCCTTGCTGGGATCGACAGCGTCGGCGTGGACCACCGTGTCCTCCTTCGCTCCGCATGCCGTTGAGTCTGCAAAAGCATCAGTAAAGTTCAAATGCCAATGTTGACAACGGCTCCTTGGCCATCCCCCACGAAGCGGGTACGTTACCAAAAAGGAGAGACAACAGGTCAAGCTGTGGAAAGTCTCGCTGCTGCGATGCCTTGTAAATGATGCCGGAAGACGTTTTCTCCACGATGGTCGACATGATGTTTATGATTCTGTCACTGTACAAGTGAAAACTACAAAGGCAAACCTTGTGTTAGCTCTCAAAACCCAGTCTCGCAAGAAGCAGCATCTTATACCTGAAGGACGTTCGTTAGCGCCTGGCCTTACCCGCTTGGACACCGCAAGAACAGAAAGGAGGTCGCCGGCCGGCCATGTGTCTAACTCGAACGCTTTGCCGTTTTCGATAAAAGGGCGTTCCTTGGACGACTTGAACAGAGCTTATCGATCATTGAGGCGGCGAATGAGAGCTCATCCCAGCAATCTCTTTCCCCGCAAACCGGGGGGACAGCACGAGCATTTTCAGCAAACCTCGGCACTTTCGGATTGACGTCAAGGATTCCCTTTCGTTCTTTCGCTACACTACATATCTATGACACTACGTACAACTTATGTCCGAGACATGGGTGGTTATTTGTATCGCAGCTGCAATGCCGGAGGCCGATAATGCCGGAGGCTGACCGCCCTTGATCGTCGCCCGAATACCTCGGCACTCCACTATCGACTACATGCCGTTCACCACTGGTCGGGATCCGCATCCGCAAAGGTGTCGCCAATGGCAATCTCATCGAACCAAACCTGCCGGAAGGGCTGAGAGCCAGAATAGCCCGAATCATACCAAGCATTGGCGTAGAGACCGACTCGGAACTGGAATCTCACGTCGGTGTCGAGGGTCGTCTTGATGTCGTAGTGCTCGACGACCTTGGTTCCATCATACCAGAGCTTGAAGAAGCCCGAGCTGTCGCTCCTCCAACTGACCTGCATCACAATCTTGTGCCAGGTACCAGCGCTGACGTTGATGCCGGTGTCGAAAGGAGTAGGCAAGGGAGAGCAGAGCGTGCCACTCTTGACTCTGGTCATGAGACGGTTTCCATTGACCCAGACCATGGTCGTGGGCGACCACTCATCACAACTGCTGGAGCCAAAGTTGCCGATGAACTGGGCAAGGTTATAGGACTGCGCGGGGCTCGACTGCCAGTCGCCCTGCAGACGGAACATGAAGCCATAGAAGCGTGTCTCGCCCCGGGCGTAGCCGTTGAGAGTCCGCACTTCAGCGTGGTAGCGGCCCGAGTACGAAGAGTCGTAGGTCTGCTCGAACTTGAGGGCCGTGCCTCCCTCGTAGACTGTGTTGGTCACTTCGGAGATCTTGCCCTTGTTTTCGGTCTGTTGACCATCCCAGCCGCTGAGGGTGCCGTGGTTGCTGAAGATTTGAGTTCCCTGGACGATGACGGGCGTCACGGCCGCGAGCGCGGCGATGAGCACATGTTGGATACCCATGTTGCGTTCAAGAGATATCAAAGGCAGTTACCGGGCGGGTCGGTATTTAATTGAGGAGGTAGCAAGGTTGGATGCTCAAGAAGCTACTCCAGGAGGGGACGGTCGGCCCATTGTCGACTTTTGTACTTTTCTCACAGCATTGCGGGGGCGTTGAAGTTCTCAGCTAAAAGGGACATGAGTAAGAATCTCTTCGCATGTTGTGAGTAAGCGGCCACACATACGAGCTCACAATCCAATCGCGGCCTTCTTATGTTGGCTGCCTGGGCGGAGTGTTGGTGGCGTCTCCGGCGCTTACTAAGGTCAAACAGGTAGGTGGTATCAACGTCCTCTCCAGGGTGGTAAAAACCTTTTTTTTTGTACAGCAAAGACTGACGACTGTGGTTTGTAGTAGCTTCAACGTTCAACGTCCGAGGTTTCCTCTTGTCACTCTTTCTTTTCACTCGCTCGGGTCTTACGTCCGGTTGCAGCATCCTTCAACTTATTCTATTCTCCACACGCCTTGTGAGGCTCCAGCAACAGGTGCCTTGGGTGTATCCTCGCCAAGAAGGGGGATGCTCTCATGATACCTGAACATTCGGCTCAGGGGCACCTACCTCACCCTGCTGTTCATCGGTTCCTCAGCGAATGGGCATGGCTATCAAAGCACCATCGCGAAGACACATAGGGTTCAGGCTTCACGGTCCCGACAGATGCGGATCGTAACTCATCTCATTTCCTCAAAGACGAGTTCACATCCAAGACATCAAAGAAGAAATGCTCCAATTCCATCCCGGCACATGACATCGTATCTGTAGGAAGACAGACCCAACGATCCACAAACGTTCAAAACCCAAGAACCATTCCCAAGCCGACGCAGAACTCCACGTTCACCATCCAAAACTCAATCAAGGGACATGCTCCTTTACCTCAGCCGAGCCGCCCAGCTTGTTTTCGTTGGTGCTGCACCTACCAAGGCCAGTCGTGTCATGCTCAGTGTGGTTGACCACCTTCTCGGCAGCGGCATTGGCCTGTCTCTGAAGGTCCTCGCCTTCGAACATGAAGGTAAGCTCTTCGAGGGTCCGACCCATGGTTTCAGGGAACATGAAGTAGACGAAGCAGACCTCGAATGCGAGCCAGCAGCAGTACGAAATGAGATACTTCCAGCCAACGTTCTTCAGACCGATGGGGTTGACAAAGGTGGTGAAGAAACCGGCCAGACGACCAAAGAGCTGGAAGACGGCAATACCACGGGAGCGCTCGGCATACGGCCAGACTTCCACCATGTAAGCTGCCCTTTGAGTTAGTGATATTGACCTCTGAACAGGACATGGGGGTTCAACTTACTGTAGGTCAAGGCGTTATAACCCATGTTATAGCACGGCGAGTACATGTAGATGAAGAAGAGGGTGGCGATGTTTGCCCCGTTGTTGGGTGTCCCATTCGCCTTGCCTGTCATGGCGCGCTCCATGGAGACGGTCCATGCGATATAGCACAGCAGCAAGCTGATGGTGCAGGCCATGTACATGATACGACGTCTGATGCGAGTGACTAGGAGCGAAACAGTCACGCCGCAGAACAAACTCCAGCAGGCGATGGAGACGTTGATCTTTTGGATGAAGGTCGAGTCGGTGAAGCCAATCATCTTGAGGAGGTCGCCGAGGAAGTAGGAGATGAGGGTGTTGCCGGACCATTGGGTGAAGAGACCGAGCATGGACGAGATGAGAAGACGCTTGCGCATGCCCGGGGTCCGGAGGAGATCCATCCACGAGCTCTTGGAGACGGTTTCGTATTCGAGACGGATGACGGCTTGCATCTGGGCGAACTCGGCGGCAACGAATTCCTCACCGCGCTCCATCTCTCCGTGGTACTTTTTTAGGATGTCGTGGGCTTCTTGAGAGCGGTCCTTGGTGATTAGCCAGCGGGGACTCTCGGGGATGAAGCTGCATTTCCTCAAGTTAGCGAATTACGTTCACACGATCGGAATATGTTTCAACAAGATCGATGATGACACGTACAAGACAAAGGTAAGTTGAAGCAGCGATGGGCAAATCTGGAGAAGCGAGGGGATTCTCCAACCCCAATTGCTCGCGATGCTGTTGGTGCCAAAGACAATGGCGGCAGCAACGATTTGCCCGACGAAATAGGACACGTTGAAGAGCGAGGTCAAGACGGGACGTTCTTTCGGGTAGGCAAGTTCGCCGATGAGGGAGGAGCCGGAGACGATGCAAGTGGGGATGCCGAAGCCGAGAATCATACGGGCGACGATGTACATGCCGACTGTTGTTGGCGGCGGTCAGTGTTGGCGTTTTTGTGGTATTTACGGCAGAGAGAGGTATATAGGTGCTTACCATGTTGGGAAAAACCCTGAATGATGGCGCCCACAATCATGACGATTGAGCCAAGAGCAATAGACCATCTTCGACCGAACCTGTCATTGATGATGGGCACCAGGGGAAGAGACAGAATGGCACCAAGAGAGTACGCTGCGCTGATGATACCCTTGAGAGCTCCCTGCGGATTGTCGAAGTCTGCGATATCACCCAGGTGTGATTAGCAAGGAAGGAACCAGAACGGTACCACGTCCATTCCTCCAGCCTCCGTCCGAGGACCGCACGACGCTGACACGGAGAACGATTAAAAAAAGAAGACGTACACTGGATCCACGACTCCAAAATCTGGAGGGCATTGATCATCTGGGAATCAAACCCCGACGTCAACTCGATGCCCATACATGTCGGGAAGAGCATAAAGTAGAGGAATCGCAGGTTGGGTTTCTTGTACCAGGGAATTGGGTCCTCTTTGGCGAGGCGGGAGATGACGGGGTCGGAACCACCGAAGTCGCCACCTGCACCGCCCATTTTGGGAGATGATTGTTGATGTTGGTCTTTCTACTGCTGCTGGTAATGTAGGAGTGCTGTTCATAGGAGAAGTGGAGGAGCAGGAGGAGGAGCAGGAGGAGGTTTGAGTTACCCAAGCTTGGCGATGTATGGTTGGGAACAAAGCAAGAGAGCAGAGGGGACAAGAGTCTATCTGTCTGGATGGCAGCAGGTAGTCTATCTATGTATGAATGGACTTCGAACCATGGACCGGCTGCCTGGAAATAATACCCTACTCGAGTCGTCAAACCATGGGAGGTGATAGGTTACAACTCCGCGCGAACCCTACCTACATGCAATATCGAACCGTCCAGAGGATAATCATGTACCCCATTACCCCATTATTCCATGATTCCATTATTCCATCCCTGGTAGGATGTAGTATACATACAATCACGGATCACTGTATCCTTAAGGCATGGCACACCTCGTTCGTTCATGTGCGGGGATGGAACACGGAAAGACTAATTCGGTACCTACCGCACTCGAGTTAACGAATCATGATGCTTGTTCCCCCACACACTACCACACTACACCAAGCCTTCCCCAACTTTACTCTAACCTCTTCCGGAGATACTGGGGGCGGGGGAAAACCATTGTTGGGTTGGGTTGACAGCCTAGAGGTAGAGGTAGTCTAACCCTTTCCGGCCGGTCGAAGATGGCCAATTGAATGAGACGGTCATGTTAATGTTGCACATGCACATGCGCCGCGCCGCCGCCGTGTCGTCTTACCCCATCCCATCCCATTCCATCCCATGATTTACCTACTGCGTACACATAAACATAAAGATGGGGGGTCTGGGGTAATGTCCCTGTTTTGCATTTTGCATGTACCGAGCGCTTGGCATTCTGGGGGAGGTCTGGGGTAGGCTGGGGTAGAATGGAAAGGCTGACGGCCAAGCTAGCGGATTGGACGACGGACGGCCTGACAAGGAAAAAGGGAGGGGAGGGGGGAGGGGGAGAGGAGTGGAGTGGGCTTTGACAGGCTTCCCCGGATAAATACCATGTAGTGTACTCACATGTGCAGGTACCAAGCCGGGATAGAGGCTATTTCATCCGTTAGCGTCTTCCTGGTATGCATGGATTGGACTTGTCACTCTTTCTTTTTTTCCTTTTTCGAGAATGACAGAGATGGGTGGGCTAGAGGTATATAGAGGTATGTAGAGGTATGTAAGGAGAGTGAGTTTGTTTAGGTAGGTATGTACATGAGGGTTGATGCGAACTTTTACTTGACTGCGTGGAACATTGGCGTGGAGGCCAAGGAGAGGAGTCCAGGAGCCAAGCCTGATGGTTTCACTAACCGGGCTGGCAGCATCTTTCGGGGTCGATTGAGGGTTGAGGGTCGAAGGTTGAAGCAAGACATGTGGCAAGAAGGAGCAAACTGTAAGGAGTTTGACTGGTCTGGATGGCTTGACAGGAAGGAAGTAATGGGTCGTTTATGGGCGCCAAGTCAAGTATTACCTTTCAAAGTCGATCGGAAGGCGGTTCCACACGTATTGAAAGGTTCGTCTGGGGTGGTTTGTCTTTGCTCTTGTGGGAAGTGAGCTGACAAGTGGAAGTCTAACAGGCACACCATGAGGATCTTGGAATGTAGGGATGACTGGCTTATATACTTGCCAAGTCTCGACTTTATCCCGAGTTCCCCGTTACATACGTCGTCCATCCAGTGGGATCTAGTCATAGAAAACCAGGGGCACTTTCAGCCGTTCTGATACTACATCATATAACACTACCACGCCGAGAAAACCTACGCCGTACTTCGGCATCTTAACCGCCATTATGCATGTTCCACACTCTCATCTTTTCACCTCTTGTGCTTTTCCGCGTTTGGTCTACGAACTTTACCTACCTAGACTGCATTGGGATGCTGGAACCGACGTTGATGGTCTCAGGCTTGGCTATCAGGTCGATGCCCCCTTCCTCCAGGACCGAATGTAGAAGGGAAAATTGAGGAAACTGATTGAAGGCTGTCAAAGCGGATGACTCGGTCAGGGGTGGCTCAACTAACTCGATAGGTATGAAGACCTTGTCATGATCAAGGGCCGAACCGGGTTAAAGAATGCTAACGGAGTCGATGGGACTGCGGGTTGAGATTACGTTACACGGCAGAACGCACCAAGTTTGACACTTTGACCTGGAGAGCCTAGAGGTAGCAATCTCGGACTGAATTGGATCCCAGATGGAGTTGTCGATCTCACGAGGTGTATATCTAAGGTACGGCGTGAAGCCTAAAGCAGCGTAGCAATGGAGTTGAGAGTTCCGTTCCAGCGGTTTGGAACAAGATATTAACTCGCATCCTTTATTTATCAGTTGTAACTCCTTTGATAGACGAAATATCTAGGTAGGTACCTTCCCTTAATCCAGATCATAGAGACTTCCAACTGGCTGCGTAGCTAACGACGGGAATGATTTGTTGCGAGCCAAGAGGAAGCCAAGAGAAACACACCAACAGGACGGGAGGCACAATCCTGTGCTGCCTCTTTCTAAAATGGAGTTGCGAGGTTGTTGGAGGGGGCACGATGTATTGGAGATGGCCATGGGAGTTTATCCAACGTTGGTAAGTCGAATTCGAGTCAAACAAATCGCCGGTGAGGGATGGACGATAATCTGACGAAGATTCCATTGAGAAGAGCGACGCGATGGAATTGACCATCTAAAGAGTAATTCCAGATTTAGTATCAAGCGTTACTATCGATCGAGGTCATTGAGTGTAATGAGTGTTCAACATTTGTTGCGCGATGTAAACATCTTTCTGGTGGTACATGAACAAAGAAAAATCAACAAAGAAAGCCGCCAATCCTCCTCTGAAGGTACCTCTATGTTTTTCTTTCGTCATCATCCGTCGTGCCTTGCCGTCTTCAAAACATCCAAGTAGGCGCTTTCTTCATACCCTGGATCCCACCTTTTTTTTGTCGCCAGCGCCTGCGTTCTGAGAGGGAGCTCTTGCCTTTCCAGACCTTTTTCCCAAACAAACCTTGTTCCTCCTGATCTCACCACTTTTCCTCTCTCTTTTCTTCTACAACAGACGCTGGCCAACAGCTTCAAGCCATGACCTATCTCCTCCATGATGCCTCCCACTTCCTTCATACATGTCTCTCTGAGCTTTGAGGTTACCACCTCAAACTCGCCGTCCCAGCAGGGTAAGCAGGCATATCACCACCACCACCCGTACCATGCCCAGCATCAAACCCACCACCACCACCACCGCCTTGCGTCGTCTGTTCCACAGTCATCGTGACCTCTTGCGTCCTCAGAATCATTCCCATCGGAGTGGGAGTACGAGAGATAGCCCCCCTTCCACCACCACCAGCAGGCCCCGTCTCAAGCCCCTGCCCCTGCGAAATCACGACCCCCGACATCGTCGTCGCCACAGAGGACCGTGTCCTGTCATCTACCATTCCATGATTCCTTGTGCGCTTTTGCGGCTGCAACTGTCCATTTCCCTCGCCATCCATATCATGCTCATGCCCGTTTTGGTCCTCCATGTCCTGCCCACAATGCCCCATCAAAATCAAGATACTCTCCTGACTTTCGGCCTTTGCATCATGACTATACCGTAACCCATCCCCCATGTCTCCTCCGACTCCCACTTCAACAGCAAAATAAGTCTCTGACTCAGCGGCAGTCGCAGGCGTCGTCACGACCAGCAAGTCATCATCATCTTGTAGTTCCGCAGCATTCTTTGGTGACTTTATGTTCTTGGACATGGACATGGTAGCGCCGCCGCCGGCTTGGAGTTCCACATCGTCAACGGTGGATTTGGGAGATCTGGACTTGGACCATAATTGCTTGTGGTAGCTGTCGCGCGTGGTTGACAAGTGAGTGTGCCGGCGACCCCCGTAATAGACTTCGTGGCCTCCTCCGCTGGAATTGTTGTAGCTGCCTGATCGGGGGGTGCTGCAGAGGGTGCGGCGGCCCATGAGGACGTCGAGAAGGGGTTGGAGGAGGGGAATGCAGGAGGCAATGATGATGGTGCTGCCTTCGATGCTGTGGGGTAGAGGTTAGTGAGATATGACAGCAGGGAGGGAAGTGGTTCGAAGGAGGTTTCAGAGGGAAATCAAAGCTTACAGGGACCAGATGACCAGATCGGTGGTATCCCAGGAGAAATCAGCTCCGGCGAGCGAAGGGAGACGAGTGGATTTGTAGAGGGACACGATTGCCGAGACGGATCCGATGCTCAGGGCGGAGCAGAGGGCGATCTTCTTCTTGTTGTTGATCTGCAGTTTGAAGAGGACGATGGTGGGGTAAACGGCGAGGTAAAGATCCGTCAAGGCGGAGAAACCTGTGGGCAGAAAAGGTGAGTTGGACTTTTTCGTCTCAGTCTGGTCTTCAGTCATGAGAGGTACTCACATCCAGCAACCATGGAATACCTCACCAACAACCACGGACTCCAGCACTTGACATTGGTAATCGAAAAGTCCCATTGTGCCCGCGAGGGCGTGCACTGGGCGAACAAGATGATGGCGCAGCCAAGGATAGCCACCTGGCAAGTGCTGACCAACACCCAGAGAAAGACACGGTGCCACCGGGCCGGGTTCAGTAGCCGCGTCAGCAGAGTCACGACGGCGAACTTGGGAATGGTGAAGGCGAGGATGCTGGGCGTGAAGCTGAAGAAGGCCCATTTGATCATCTGCTGCTTTCCATCGAGGGGTAAGACGTCAAAGTGCCTGCCGAAACCATGGTACACCGAGGCGATGGTCATGCCGACGCAGATCCACGCACATGCCTGCCGTAGGTTAGCAAGAGTGTCATGTTAGTCTTGGATGAGGTTCGGTGATGACTGGCAGATGAGATGCGGTAGATAAAAGAGAGAAACTCACTAATCCAAGAAGAATCAAACAATCATCCACCTCCACTTTTCCCAGTATCCTCGTCCTCACGAAGAGACGGGCAAACACAAAGACGGTGCTGATGGCCACGATGGTGGTGATGACGGCTATGACTCCTGGGCCCTTGTTGGCCTGCATGTACGCCTCAGACGGCCCTTGGTGTGCAAAGGCTGGCGAAGCTGATACTGAGTCAGCCATGGCTGTAACGAATGAATGAATAAACGAATGACTGTCTGGGTGTCTTGTAGCACAGATGGAAGGGAGGTATTGTTCGTGAACGAGTGTTTTCTTAGTCGTGTCTTGTGTCATTCCATTTCCATCATGTTGATGTCTCAAGCAGGTCTTGGGAGACGCCTGGCCAGATGTATGAAGAGGCCTTGTGACAGAAAGGCATCCTTGTGGTGTTTATTCGCCATTGTCAACTCTTATGCAGTGACTGAATAATAGAGTACATATTTCCAGCTTGCTTTTTCTGTTGTTGTTTCTCTCATGACAATGGTCTCCACCTTTCTCTTTTGAGGGTTCTCTTGCGAACGATCGTTGGGACTTGAGAGAAACAGAGTGTAACCTTGGATCTCGATTCCTCAATCCAACCGACCGAACAGAAGACATCCGGAACCCACTTCTCTGTAACCAGAAACAGGTGGTGAACCCCTGGTACCTGCAGGTAATTAGATGAAGACAACCTTATAGCATGAAGCTGAGTCCGTAGGGGCCTGTCCTGCTTTGGTCACTGGTCACTGGTCTGTTCTGGGGTGCGAGAAGGGTTCAGGCACCCTTCCTCTTCTTCTTCGGGTGACTGGCTGAGCCTTACGAAGTTGCTTAACTTTATGTTGTTGGGGGGTTATTTGATGATAAGAGTCGTCGGAGATAGGCCATCACCCCACGCCGGTCGGACTGATGCCTGGACTGATCATCGATCCGTCCATTGGCGTGGATACGGTGGGCGACTTGGTTTCCCTGGTACGGCCGGTGATCCGGGGAGCAGAGGTATGGAAGGAAGGGAGGAGGGTTCGAGTGGGAATTTACCCCAGATCCAGTTTCTTCATGGTTTCCATGGTGAACCATTGTACAGGTATTCACGGGTTCACTCTCGCTAACGGTACGACACCGAAACCGAGACTAAGACGGAGTCAATCCCTCTGGTCGAGATCGTGTCTACCATTTCTTTTCGCCGTTCTTCCCAACTGGAACATCCAGGGAAGCGGTGTGTGGCCCAGGCGTAACACAAAGTTGGAGAGTTCGTGTCCTCGCGGCAAACGGAAGAAATTTGCCGGAAGTTTTGGATACCAGGTTAGGTATCGACAAGGAATGGACCCTTGAATAAGTTGTTCTGGAAACAAATCCTCTGGGTGCAGTGGTGTCATCAAAAGCAACATGAATTCCGGCCCCCTTCCTACTCGCAGAACCAGAAACCGACCGGTTCTGGGTCTCTCTTTCTTCTTTCGAATCAGAATGCTACCTACCTCGCTTCGCCCTTCCTCTTTCTCATCGTCTAAAACTCGACAATTCTGCTGGAGGGGCATGTAAAATCCGAAATGCACATCAGAACATCGCCGGCAACACGAGTACGACACGACCCTTGATAAAATGCCGATGATGGATTCCTCGAGGAGCTTGCTTGCTTTTTTGAACCTTGTCGGCATGAAAGACCACGTTCCGCGAGGTTTCAGTCTCTGTCTGTTTATTTTTTTCCGGTTGGTTGACGTCCACGAAGCCCTCCTCACCAACAAAGCCAATGGGAGAATATTCCGCCGAATTTCCACACACACCTTGGTGTGACCTGATTGATGGCAGTCCATTCCATCCGGCAACGATTTGCGGTTCCGATTTTAGTGATAAGGTGTCAACGGAGCGCGTACCGGAATGGCGTACCAGGATATCGAGCCTGGCGCCGGCGGTGCTGTTGGTGGAATGGGAGCAGGACAGGACCTAATTTTAAACCCGAGCCGGTTTCGACATGGTCGGAAGTGGCATCCGGTACAGTGCGGCACGGGTGCTACCGCTGTCAGGCCCATAAATATCCGCGGCCGGGCAGCGCCTGAGGGGTTGGATCCGAAGGAGCCAGGAGCTGTGGCTTCACTCTGGGAAGGGTACGTAAAGGGACGTCAGTGAGGGTATCACAGAGACGTGGAAATATCAAATGCTTTCCAAACTGTGGTGATGGAACTTCGAAACCCAACAAGATAGAACACTCGAAAAAGCGACCTCAGACTTGGGATATTGGGAAAAGGATAACTGGGGCGGTGAAAGAGAAATTGAAGCTGTACTTGCGTCTTAGGATATGGGCATCTGGTCAAGCCACAAATGACTGTTCAACTTTTGAAGCACCAGACTTGGGAATGGCAGCTCACAAGGGGCCATCGTTCGATGGATTGTTCTCGGAAGGTTTTTCGGTAAAAATGCCACCGGCACGATGACACTCTAGATTGTCGCTGATACGACCTGGTCGACCATTTATCGCCCTTGTCGTCGTCCGCATGAATTTCAGATGACTGAACAATCGAACGACAAGTGGCATGCAGCACTGTTCTGCCTACTACCCCAACCCTCAAAACGACACTGTGCGACATAGCCGTTGGTTCCTTCGATTCGTTCGTCCGTGTAAATAAGTTGTTCCGATTGGATGGACTAGGGTTGTCGGTTGCAACGACCGCAACCACGCTCGCTACACTTGCCTCATTGTTGACTTTGCGTGAAAGGGAAGAACCTCCTCCGTCACTGATCATTCATTGATTCCGTCTTCTGCGTCTTTCTCTCAAGGGCAAGAGCGGCCTTTTTGGGATTCTGGTTGCTTCGTTCATGCAGTCGAGTTTTGGGAAGGTAGGTTGCAGGAAACATGAACTCGCATCTCGATCATAAACGTGCTCCTCCGTAGCATCAATCGCAAACATTGACCCTGAGAGTCAAAGTCTGAGGCATCCAGAAATCCTAGCCAGCTCTCACTTTCCGGACTTCTCAAGGGCCCTGGGCCTGTAGTGGTGATTTCCATATATTGACTGGTAACGTCACCAGTTGGCCCGACCATGCAACAGTCTAGACTTTTCGCCATCCGATTATTGAAATTACTGCCCCTCGCTGCTGGGAGACAGACAAGGACAGCAATACATAGGTATGTACGCTATAGGGTTGAGCCACACATGGATGACAAGCCCACATGGCCGGGGTATCATCCGTGTTATCAGAGGTAGGGTTTGAGTGTGAGATTTGACCTTTTGCGTTGCGATGCCAATGCAATGGAAACACAGGTCCAGAGCGAGCCAACTGCATGAACCTTAGTTGGTGTTCAGAGACTGGCAAAGACCACACCTCCTTTTTCGTTGTTCATGATCCAGATATATCTCCCATCACGTCTCACCCTCCAAAGGTGAGTATTTGAGCCCATCCACTTTATTCCCAGCCATCAGTCGTAAGTGACACACCAAACCACCACCTTCACAATGGCTGTATCCGTCCAACCCCCCACCCGCGACCGCACCGCCGGCCACCGCACCAAAAAGTCCACGTCCTCCGTCTCCGTCACCCCCGTATCAGAACCCCAACCCATCGACCCATCCATCATCAACCGACCCAACGACCTCTCTTCGGTACCCTCCCTCCTCTCCGCCATCTTTACCCAAGGCATCGCGGCCGTGACGTCCCCCTCAGATGACGCCACGCGGCTCGCCCTCCTCTCGTCCGCGCGAGCCCTCGTGCTGGCGCTCGAAAGCCCGCGCGAGACCATGCTCCGGCAGTGCTGGGCCGACACGGTCTGCATGGCCACTTTGTCGATCGGCGTCGACACGGGCGTGTGGGCCTATCTCGGGCGGGACGACCGACCCAAGCGCGTGGCGGACATTGCTGCGGCCACGGGGTTTGAGGCGGCATACCTGGCCCGACTGCTGAAGCACGTGGCTGCCATGGGCCATGTGATTGAGACGGGTAAGGACGAGTATAAGCCGACTAACTTTAGTAAAGCGTTAGCGATCCCGACTTTGGGGGCTGCGTATCCTTTGTTGTGAGTTTCCTTTTCTTTTCATCCTTATTTCTTTCGTCTGGTTTTGTGGTCGAGGGTCCGAGAGCATACGTAAACTGACACACAATCTCGAAAAGCACGGGACCAGGTAACACGGGCGGCGTCCTCCGCTGCACGGCCTCGTTCCCTTCCTACCTCAAGTCTACCAACCTCGCCACCCCAACCTCCATCACCAACAGTAACACGCAGTTCGCCTTCGACACCCCCAAGAACTTTTTTGAGCTGTGCCATGACCCGGCATATGCGCCCATGGGGGCCCAGTTCAACACGCACATGGGGTCATATGCCTTTGGCCGGCCCACGTGGGTGGACGAGGGCTTTTATCCCATTGGGGAGCGCCTGCTTGAGGGGTTTGATGACGAGGATGAGACGGCGGCGTTGTTGGTAGATATTGGCGGGAGTATCGGGCATGATTTGCAGAAATTCAGGGATGCGTTTCCGGAAGCGAAGGGAAGACTGGTCCTGCAGGATCTGGAGCCCGTGGTGGCGCAGGTGAAGGAGACCGAGTTGGATGCGAGTATCGAGAGGATGGCGTATGACTTTTTGACGGAGCAGCCGGTTAAGGGTGAGTTTCCATTCATTTTCCTGTCCTGGAATGGTCGGTTACATGGACAAGGTACTAATACGATGGATGATAGGAGCCCGCGCGTACTACATGCATTCGGTCCTGCATGACTGGCCGGATCATCAGTGCGTCCCCATCCTGGAGAACGTCAAGGCGGCCATGAAGCCGGGGTACTCGCGCTTGTTGATCAACGAGAACGTGATTCCTGACGTGGGCGCAAGCTGGGAGAGCACTTCGTTGGATATCATGATGTCGTGCTTGGTGTCGTCCAAGGAGAGGACAAAGGATGAGTGGGTGCAGTTGTTGAAGCGTGATGCTGGGCTCAAGATTACCGGGTTCTATCCGGTTGGGAATGGCGTGGAAAGCATCATTGAGTGTGAGTTGCCAAGTAAAGAGAGTGAGTCGTCGGCCGAGGACACTGAGTCGTCGACGGATGAGTCTTTGTAACTGTCATGATACCAATCGAATAGTGTGTTTGTATGGACTGGATATTCTTGCGTCTTGTACCTTTTCATTCCTCGCTTCCGGTCTTCCTCTTCATACTGAACCGGTCAGGTAAATCTAAGTGTTGAACCGTTTCGTGGTCTCGGCGTAAGGTCAGATGCTGAACATACTTTGTTCCTCAATTCATACTCGATTTGCCGACCTCATGTTTCACCCGGCACCAAATCTCCTCGCCGCCGACTTTAGCACCCCACTTCTGGACAACAAATTGGGGAAAGACGAAAAGAACAGAGGATGGCCAGCTACATATTTCCATTCTTGTCAAGTATAAAGCTCCGTCGACAGTTGATGCTGGATTGTTAGTGTCGATGTCGTCCTGGGGCTAAAATGCCGTCGTCGTGTCAACATTCTATGAAACCCTAACGAAAAGGAGTTAAAAGAAAGAGTTGGGTATTCTGAGGTGATAGCACAAATCCAGGAAAGCGCAGACTGTGGTGAGATGTTGCTTTTTCCGAGTGTCCAATGTGAGTTTCTGGTGCCCTTTTGCCCGTTGGTGTTTTGGAGTGGAAAATGATGACGTCGGGAGATACAGTGGGCAGTTGCTTACAGCGGCCTCTCAGTGGACCACTGCACTAACAGCGATGCCATGACTTTTGCCGTAGCCAAGTTAGGGTGATAAGATAAGCGAGTCCGACGATGATTCAGCACGTGAGCTCGCACAGTTGACCGAGTTTTAGCGTGTCCACGGCAGTCCGGGTCCCTGGCTGGACCCCGCGTCGCGTACTAACAATTAAACCAACTTTGGACTCGACAATCCCAATTCCCAAAGTCAGGCAGACAATTGCACCATTCAACCACCTTCTCAGCAACCTACGGTACTTTCTTGTTGTCCGACGACTTCTCTTCTCTCCACTCACTCAGGTCCCCTCTCGCGGCTATCAAGCGACCCTCTTGTGACCTTTACCGATCCGATGCCCATTCCTGCCCATTCCTGCAGCGAGTCCAGTTCTGATCGAGGCTGAGCGGCAGTCCTCCTTGGACCATCATTACCTACGCCATTTGACAAGCCACCTACTTCGACGGGCATTGGAGGTCCAAGTACCTCTGCCTTAGGTAGGTACTTACGTCTGCGCAGTCCGACATTAGAGTGCCCGGTGACAACGCGCTGCTGGTACTACCTCTACTTACCTTTACTTACACGGACACTGTCCACAGCACCGTACAGTCGCATTCTCCATCCGTTTGCTCGACCATCCATCCATCTTCTCGACTTTTCTCCTCCATTCTCCCTCTTGAGACCTGAAGTAGACCTCGTCCTCTCCGCCTCGACATCGTATCCTACTATAATACACATACCAACAGCCATGGCACCTCCACGACTTCCTGATCTGCCAACCGAGCTGATCTACCTCATCGCCGCCCACCTCCCCAAAGCTTGCGATCTCTCGGCCTTGGCCCGGACAAATCAACGGCTCTACTGCATCATCAACAACATTCTCTACACCGGAGCAGTCAAGCCCGGCACCGACCCTCAACCTCTTCTCTGGGCCACCCGACATGGAGTCCCCTCCACCGTAGACAAGGCCATTTGCGCCGGCGCCAAGCCAGACTACCTCTTCGAGTTTGTCCTCTCCCGTAAGGCCTGGGAACTCGTCTGTATCCTCGAACGCGCTGCCGCCCCCAACGAGAACTCGGACTTTGAAGACTGGAACTGGTCCCCTCCCTCCAACACCAACTACAGCAACTCGGCCACCCCCGAGCTCTACCGCGACCTTCACGATATCATGGGCACCATGCGCGCCCCGTGGGATCCCCGCCCCAACCCCCCTCCCAACAACCTGTCCGGCCCCGCGAACCCCCTTCTCGACCTGTTGGAGAACGAACCCCCCCAAACCAACCATGAAGTACTTAGTGGTTCCGAGACTGAACCTCTTTCGGAGCCTGATGATCCCATGCCCTTCCCCCCTCCACCAGGAGGAGGAGGATTGGTGGGCGCTTTTCTCGGTAACCTGTTTCAAGCCGTTCACAACCACAACCACAACCCCTTCAATGACGATGACGAAGAAGACGACGACGACGACGAGGATGACGATGACCTCATGGATGAGGACAGCGAGGTCGAGGAGTGGGTACACAACATACGAGCCAGGGGAATCACCCGCCGCTGTGCCCCCATACACATAGCTGCCAAGGAGGGCCATAACGCCGTCATCGAAAAGCTGCTGGAGCACGGTGCCAACATCCATCTCGAGGCAGAGTGGTACTGCTCCTGCCGCCCGCCGCTCTCGCTGTGGGAAACGCGCGAACTCGAGGCGGCCGGCACCCTGCGTGAGAACCTGGAAGCTTCATATTGGCCGGCTGTCCACCTAGCCATGTGCTTTGCGCGTTTCGACACTGCCAAGTTTCTTATTGAGCGCGGTGCCCTCAACAATATCCCCAAGGGTCATCTGGGTTTCACCATCCTCCACCAAGCTGCTTCTATAGGAAACCTCGACATGCTCAAGTACATTGTCGAAGCCGGCAAGGCCACCTGGCCCACGGTCGATATCGAAGACGACATGGGCCTGACGCCTCTGTATTTTGCCTGTGCCAAGGGCCATTGGGACACAGTCGTCCCCTACCTGATTGAGAAGGGCGCCAACATAGACAAGGAGTTTGAGGTGGACCTGTGGGAATTCAAGGCCAAGACGACGGTCCTCGGCGAAGCTTGCTACCTCGGCCATTACGATCGCGCCCTGAAGCTCATTGAGCTGGGTGCAGATGTCAAGCAGCAGCTCGAGTTCAATCAGCTGACATTTGGGAGACGACACCGCCTGGAAGAAGCGGATAACGGAGACGAGGAAGCTGGCGATGGCATCAAGAAGATCCCCCTTCTCCACGTATGCTGTACCTCCCCCCGACCAAAGGATGACGACTATTACTCAAACCCATCAGTTCGGTCGGCACCTTTCAGACTGGCCAGAACCGAGGAGCCGACAGCCTTGGAACGCGTAGCCCTGATAGAAAGGCTTCTGGCTGCGGGCACGCCCATTGACCAAACCTGGGACGACGGCAATGGCGAAACCCCTTTGTTTATGGCTGCACAGTTTCACGTCACCTCAGCTGTCAGGGCCTTGTTGAAGGCTGGTGCTAATCCCCTTGTCCAGGATAAAAATGGCCGAAACGCCTTGATGGCCGCACTTTATCACCCACTAGGCGAAGAGCCCTGGACCACGTTTGCCGAGTGCTTCCCATCGAGTTCCAAGCCAGACAAGGCGCCCGAGATTGTGCGTTTGCTCCTAGAGGCAGGCGTTCCAGTCAACCATCAGGACTCAAAGGGACGTACCGCGTTGCACCTTGTCTTCCGGCCCAGGAGAGCGTACGAACTAGGAGCGGCAACAGACGCCATCTGCAGCATCGTCCGATTGCTGTTCGACGCTGGCATTGACCCATGCATTCGCGCCAAGGACAAGACCCCGGTCCTGAAGAACGCACTCAAATGGGATTACGGCCGCGCTGCTGATCTCCTCGTCCAATTCCACGGTCCCGCCCTTGGCTCGCATTTGGACCCCAAGGAGTTCCGAGAATTCTACCTAATGATAGCCGAAGCCACCTCTCCCAGGATCTACGCCACGTATGGGGCTCCTGAATCAGCCTCTTCGTATGACTTGCTTCTGGATATCGACAGCTCTCATCACCTCACGTCCGACAAGAGCCTTTTATTCGACCTGATCAAGAAAGGGTCCGAGAACGGAGAATGCTTTTCGGCAGCCGAAAAGCTTGGCAAGCGTGGCCTCCATCGCATGGACCTGACGCTCGAGGAAAAGACCAAACTGATGAAGAAAAGCATTGACCATGATCTGCACAAGCTGATGATAGAGGTTGTCAACGTCACCGTCCATGCCGTCGCGCCGTCCGTCCTTCGAGACAAGGCCGTGCTCGAAGAAGCCCTACTGCACATCCTCCGCAATCCCCGACGGTTACACTTTTCGGAACCCATGATTGCCCATCTCATCAACGCCGGCGCCGACCTCCACCGGCCATGCCCTTACCAGCTGGAAAAGAAAGCATCCGATACCACCACCACCACGACCACCACCACTACCTACCTGCCCCCCCTCTACACCGCCATCCGCTACGGCCATGTCAAGGTCGTCAAGTACATGCTCTCCAAGCAACCCATCCACGGTAACCCCCACGCCCTGCTCAACCCTTACCTCCACCAGGCCGTCAACCTCGACCCGGCCATCCGGGAGAAATGGCCCCTCACCAATCAGCAGGACGAGGCCAAGACGCGCAGTGACATGGTCCGTGCCCTCATCGAAGCCGGCGCCGACCCAGCTTTGCTCAACAAACACAAGGACACAGCGTTGTCAATACTCCTAAAGGGCCTAGCCGCCGATCCAGATCGCAGAATACTCAAGAGTCTGGGCCATTTGATCAAGCCGCTTAGTCGCGGGGTGGATATCAATGTGGTGAATAAGGAGGGGAAGAGTGTGGTGGACTATCTGAGGGAGTTGATGGTTTTGAGGGAGGTGGAGGAGAAGGATCGGGATGGTCCAAGTACGAGTGAGGCCAAGATGAAGGTCAAGAGGATCAATGAGGCTATCAGGATGTTGAGATGTAGGGTGGAGTTGGTTAAAGAGGAGTCGGATGATGAGAAAGGTGAGAGTAAGGAGAAGGGGGAAGGGAAGGAAGAGGGCAGGTTGATGATCAAGTGGTCTGTTCCCAAGGGGGGTCCGGCGGCCACGGGAGGCAATATGGTGTGTCCGCCGATGCCGGCGAGGGAGAGAGGGAGGTACGCAGGGTATGGATCATATTTGTAAAAGGATTGCGTGTAATGGTTTAAGAAGGTGTGTGTTTTTCTTGTGATCTTGTATGGTTTTATTTTGGGCACCTTTTATTATGCTCAATATGATCTGGTAAGGTCGGTATACATGGTTTATTGTTTTAGAAGTAAGAGACGGAAAAAGGCAAAGCGCTGAATATGGTGCTGACTTTGTAGAGGTAGCGTTGTGTTTTTTGCAACATGGATATTTTGTGGCTGAGGATGTACATCACTGGAGAAAGCTGTTGGTTGAGGTTGCCTGGCGAAATCCCGTCCTCTGGCAGTGGTCACTGCTGAGCCTTGCCTGAATCGCGGAAGGAGCTCATGAGTCGTGTCCAACCCAGGTTGTTGTCTCTCGGTTTCGGGTCGGTACTTGGGTCTTCTGAGCTTTTTCGTCTCCGTCTTCAAAACTTACACCAATCAACCTCACCTTTTGAGTACCATTCCCATCGACATGAACCGCTCGGTTTTCTCCTTGTCGTCCATTAACATCCATTTCTTCATTCATTGATGTCACCTCGACCTATGAATGGACGGATGTTTACCCTGCGTGGCTCAAGATGATTGGCGTTGGTCAAGCAGCGTTTCCGCCCAACCCAACTTGGTCCAACTGGTCCCCACCCAAGATTTCATTCAGCTTGACAGGGAGACAGGGCCTGCTGCTGCGCCTTCTTCTCCTCGAACGAGTCACTTCTCAATTCTGCTCATATCAGCACAGACTCGCTACCTACCTACCTACCTACCTCTAGGTAGCCCAACACAAACACCTCATGGATTTGAACCTCAACGAACCTTCTTTGCCTTATTGCTTTATCTCCATTGCGCGTGTGTCGTCAGATTCATAAGAAGCGAGACGCGAACGGTCGGTTTTCTTTGCGGCGGCTTGATCACAATATCGGCATCACAACCGTCGGCGACGGCGACTACAACCACGGCACCTGCCACCTGTCGACCATACTGCATTGACTGGGAGTTGTTTCAGCCGCTCCATCATTCCTGGCGCCATGGAAGGCAAGCGAAGTCGCGTTCGCCATGCTTTTGATGATGGAGGACGCCTGTCGACGGCTTATGGACAAGTCGTGGCCAAGAGGCCCTTCCTCCATGTGAAGGAACAGGAGCAGCAACAGCAACAGGAAGAGCTACAAGAAGACGAAGAGGAAGAGAAACAACAGGAGGAGGTAGGAGTGGAAGAGGAAGAGCATGAGGATTCACCCAATCTTTGTCAGCGTTGCAAAGAGCTTGATCTCGACACCATCTTCAATGGTCTATGTCCCATCAGAGGCAGCAAGAGACTTTTGTGTCTCGGTACACTCGATGAGAACTCTCCATGCGCGCTTTGTCGGTTTTTCTACTCCATGCGGCGGCGAAGCTTCACTGGTAAAACCACAGAAAGATATTACCTACACACGTACACCTTCGAGACTTACGACGGCTTAGGGAGATGGCCGTATTTTGTATGCTCTAAGGTGTGGGCTGTTGATCCGTGTATGGGATCTCATAACCTGGAATGGGTTGCACATAAGTGTTCATATCAACACATAAGCGACAGGCCACAGTTAATGTTTCTCCCCCAATCCATCAAGCCATCCCTGTATCCAGTATCGACCTTGAAAGGCTTACCTGTCAATGAAACATCGGTAAATTATCCTTTACTGCGTCATTGGATCAAGGAGTGTGAGGGTCACCGGAATTGCAGCTACTCCAGCACCGACCCTACCAAGTCTCACATTGAACCAGCCATCCGTGGGATTGACTGCACAACTCGCAAGATCGTAGATCTACGGCCTGGAGACAATTACATAGCACTTAGCTATGTTTGGGGTAACCAGCCGTTGGTTGAGAACAAAGGCAGTCGGGTTTTGCCAACCAACGCCCCAAAGATTGTTGAGGATGCAATGATCGTTGTCAAGGAGCTTGGCCAGCAGTATCTTTGGGTCGATCAATATTGTATCGATCAGCACGACGATCAGGACAAACACGCCCAAATCAAGAACATGGATCGCATCTACGAAGGATCTTATGCTACCATTGTCGCATTCTCCGGGAAAGATTCATCTTCTGGACTCCCTGGCGTCAGCAGCATCCCAAGAATGCCTCAACATCGGTTTACGTCTCCAAAAATGACATTACTAGGCTTCACACCTGCCTTGACGCAGCAAACCTTGGAAGCTTCAATTTGGATGAAAAGAGGGTGGACCTTTCAAGAAGCCCTTCTCTCACGGAGATTGCTTATCTTCACTCAAGAACAGGTGCACTTCCTCTGTTCGCGCGGGTGGTGGGTTGAAAGCTGCGCTCCAAGACCTCTCATGCTTGGCGAGCGTACTGGTAAAAGGTGCGAATCAGTACTGGTGGGGGGGAAACCGAGGAACTTAATTTCACCTTTGGTTAGGTTTCCTGTTCAAAAATCCGGATACCAACTGCGAGTATGGATCGGTAGTTTCGTTTTTCTTCTCGAAGAATTTACCCGGCGACAGTTGAGCTTCCAATCTGACGCGCTGGATGCTGTCCGGGGCCTGCTTTCACGAGTTACGATTCTAACCTATTGGGGGATCCCTGTCTACGAGTTCCGGGAAAACCTTGGAGACTTTTTTGCTTTCGACACTTTGGAGGCGAATGAAGTCTTCCTTCGAAGTCTTTTTTGGCAGCCTGATGGCACGGCGTCAGACGCAGAAGTTCTTGGCCGTCGAGGAGGATTTCCAAGCTGGTCATGGCTTGGTTGGAGGACACCAGTCACTTTTGAGTTGTTTTACGGTGACGATTCTCCCCGCTCGATTGTCAAAGTCGAAAACACCGACGGTACACTTCTTTCATTTTCTGATCTTGTTGAACTATTTGGAGCAGAGATGGAACGCTCGAGAGTCCTGCCTGAGAGGACAACCTACCTGTGGCTTGAAGGGCTTGTTCTGACGCTGGGCTTCCAGCCCGTCGGCAACAGCCATGACGGTACAATCGACTTCTGCTTCGACCATCCACTGGGCTACTCAGATTATCCTTGCCTGATGGAAGGTAGCTGTTCACCAAAGGAAGAGCATAGAGGTACCGAAGTAATTTTTCGGTTGGATGTGAAGGGTTCTGAAGACATATCAAAGAGGACGCTGAAGAGAAGGTGGAGTTGTCTCTTGGTCTTGTACGCAAGTTCCACGAGACATCACTTCCTTATCCTTGACGAAGGAGATGACGCCGCATATTGTGTTGGTACATTTCGTCTTGAGTATTCCACGCCTGAGGAGTTGAAGGCAAAAGTACCACATGAATACAAAAAGGTTAGGATAGGATAGGTGGTGTCAACTAGGAAGTTCCTGGGCATAAGAGGACTGGCGTTGGAGACTTCACGGAGGCGGATGCAATAAGGATGGTTCTCACACCATAGAAGCGGTCAAAGAATGTACAGGGCTGTCTCGCACGCTCACATCCTTTGATCCTATCGGTTATTGACATCTCAAATAAATAGTCTGCAATTATGCCCCAAAGCCGTGAATTAGCTTAGATATATATGTCTAGGGGAGGTAGGTAGTTTCTCGGTATGTAACCGCTTCTTGAAACATTCCCCCGGGTACAGTAGTAGTGTACCGGACTCGGCACGGCACGGCACGGGCCGGGTAGGGTGGGGTAACACCTGCCGGGAAAAACCCCGGACGGCTCGGATGGATGGGCGGGGTTGATGGCGGGGTCCGAGCGTACGTCATTCAACGTTACCACTGCCGACATTTGTTCATCTTTTTCAATACAATACGGCGCGGGCATCGAAGATTACAGCAGAGGACAGCAAACACTTGTAGTACCATCTTTCCCCTTCCCTTTTCACTCTTGGACATTTTACGATCGAGCACGGGGCGTCATCGATGAACGAAAGGCCATTTCAAAATCGAGTGACCAAAAACATCTTAAAATTTCAGAGCAAACGGACTCCGAAAAGCCAACCCAGTTACGAACAAACACATTATTGACAAACTGTCATCCAACAAAATAGAAATGGTATCAAACTCCCCTCATTCACCTATCCATCATTACGGCCTCCATCTACTCATCCCAAGTAACCTTCATGGTCACGGGGAACGGCGTCACGGCGCCCCAGTCCTCGCGGAGGTAGAAAGTCTGGCTCAGCTCCTCATTCAACTCCCTCGTGATCTTCTTCAGCTGGCCCTGCGGTCCGGGCGCCCGACGGACGTTGCTCCGCTTGAACAAGCTGCGGAACATCTCACTAAGCGCAATCTGGCTGACCTCGTGGCCGAGGTACGAGTGCGTACCAAAGAAGAAGATCTTGTAGGCCTCCAGCGGGCGGGACGGGTTGACTTCCTCGGGGTTGGGGAAAGTCGTTGGTGATTGAGCGGCAGATTTCTGTTTTCGTCTGTTAGTATCATTTCTTCCATCGATGCGACAGAGGAAGGTTAAAGGAGGATCACAACTTACCACGCTAACAAACACCCTATCACCAGGCTGCACCCTCACCTCGCTGCCATCCTCCTCCTTGATGGCATCCACCGCACTCGCCTGCCTGAACGCCCCCAAAGCGTTGCCCGACAACCGAATGCCCTCCAACACATACCCAAGCAACTGCGCATCCGCGCTCGCACTCGCCGGCTGCCTCGCCAGCTCCTGGATGGCTCCCAAGTGCGCCTGTCCCTTCTCGCCGAGATAAAAGTCCACAGCGCTCGCGAACGCCTCGGCAATACTCGGCACGCTCGACGCCACGATAGGCAAGACCTGACCGAACGCGACATCCGACGCGCTCAGCCCGGCCTTGGACAACCGCTTGACGAGGTCGGTACCATAGGCAGTCAGCGCGTTGTTGCTGCTACCGCTACCACCACCACCCAGAAGCGACCCAAAGAAGGAAGTCTGGCCCTTGACGGCGCTCTCCAAAGCAGTACCGAGCTGCGTCGCCACCGTGCGGGCCGCGTCGCGCAGCTGGTGCGTCTTGACGGGGTCGTGGTCGTAGAAGATGGCGGCGAAGATAACAGCTAGCACGGCATACAGCTCCTGCGGGGTGTACAGCCCATTGGCGTTGTTCTTCGTCTGCAGCGAAATGCCAAACACCTTGGCGGCGAACAAGGTAGGCACAATGTTGCCGACGTCGCGGACGAGGTCGACGAGCAGGTGGCCGCCGACGTTGTAGCTCTCCCCGGCCAGGAGGGCGTCGGTCGTTTGCGCGAAAAAGGCCTTGGCTTGCTCTGCCCACTCGGCGCTGTACAGCTGCTCGTGGATGTCGCGGCGTTGGCTGTCGTGGGCCTCGGGGCTGTTGTTGCTGAGGGGTTTGCCGAGGAGGGACTCGAGACCGGCGTGCCATGAGGACTTGTACGCGCCACTCGTGCCCTCCTTGTCGTTGTCGAGCACGTGCTGGGCGCCCGCGTGCGTCTTCACCTGGTGCGGCTTGGGCTGGCGGGTGGGTCGGCTCCAGTCAAAGAGGTGGTCGCGCTTGAGGTCCGTGAGGATCTTCTTGTTCTCCGCGGGCGTCACCATGGGGTAGTGCGCATACACCGAGTTCTCCTTGAAGTGGTTGGGCAGGGCGCGCATGAAGAGCTTGTAGAAGACGCAACCGTGGTTGAGGTTCAGGTCGTACTGCACCTCGTTGTAGCCCCAGTTGGTCAGGTTGCGCGGGTTGTAGTCGATGGTGTAGTGGCGGTCGCCGCGGACAAGGCAGACGGCATCGGACAGCACCACGCGCGAGATGGTGTAGGTCGGCGCAATGCCCACGCCGGGAACCATGGGCGACTTGTGCTCTTCGGCGACAATTCCCGGGTACAGCTCGACAAAATCCGGGTGGTCGTACAGACGCCGGAGAGCCTCGGACACGCCGGGGTCCGAGTTGATGTCCTCAAAGGTCTCGTACGGCTTGAGGCCAAAGTGCTTGCGGAACTCGTTCAGGCCGGCCAGGTTCCATTTGCGGCCCTGGATGATACCGAGGATCTCAACGGCCCGCATGGAAGGAGGCACGTTCTTGGCGCCAAAGGAACCGGCGGGATCCTCGATGGCGTCGGCAATGCACTCGGCCAGCTCGTCGTCGCTGATCTTGCCGTTGGCGTCGCGGGTGAAGTGGCCCTTGTCCTTGCGAATCGGCCGGTCGGCCGGGTCCGCAGGAATTCCACCCTCGAACTTGCCGAAGCCCATGATCAGCTCGTGGAAGCTGAGGTCGCTGCCGGGCTTGCCAAAGAGCTCGTAGTAGAAATCCTCGATCCAGGCCTCGTCCTTGGCCGAGATGCACGAGTGCCACCGGTAGCAGAGGTTGAACTCGGCCGAGACCACGTTGCCGGTACCGCGCTCCGCACCGTCCTTGGTGCCCACGTCAATGCCCGTGTCGGCACGGGGATCGAGCGTCCAGGTGGTGTCGACGCGGTTGAGGTTGACAATGTTGCGCACGTAGTCGAGCAGGGTGATGTTGATGTACAGACCCGAAGTGATGAGCCGGGCCGTCTGGAACAGGTCGTTGTCGTACTTCTTCCACGCCGCCTCGGCCTTCTCGCCCTCGAGCTTGGGCGACGGCTTGTTGAACCGGCCGTCCTCGTTGATGGCAATCAGGTTGTCGCACGTGTAGTTGTGGAAGCGGTTGAAGAAGATGAGCAGCACGCTGACGCCGGGAGGCATGCCCAGCAGGCGCTTGTCGGCGTAGCAGTCCACCTTGAGCTTACCGTCCTTGAAGGTACGGATGGTGTCCTGCATGTCCTGGTTGCTGCCGTACAGCGGGGACAGGTCGAGGTAGGAAGACGTCTTGGACTTGCTCATGTCGCGGTAGTCAGTCCAGAACAGATCGTGGATGATGATGCTGGCCCAGTACCACAAAATACTGGACACGTTGTTGGGGTGCGACTTGTACTCGGTGCGCTTCATGACCGAGTCGAAGATGAGTTCCGGGTCGGGAAGAGCGCCCTGCCTGATGACGTTGGGCCTCACAGACCGCGCATATGTGGTGCCGGCAGCACCGAGCTGGGGGAACATGATGTTCTGTGTCCATGTGTCAGCAATCTGTCAGTACGAGCGGGTTGAGGAGGACAATACATACGTTGCAAGAACCATCGGCCTTCCTGTACTGATAATACTCGCCCACGTATATCGAAGGGGGGTGCTCGAGTGTGTACCACAGCTCACCCAAGAAGCCGTTGGTCAACTCGACTCGTAGCTTGGAGTTGCTGGGGAGGTTAGAGACAAGCTGGATGACCTTTTCCATGATCATGGTCTTGTCATCTGTGAGCCTCTCGCCCTTGATCTTGGCCACTACCATGTGCTTCAGGGTCTTGATGTCTGATAGGCATGTTGTTAGCATTGGCTGGCCATAATCCTGTGATGGCGACAGACACAACTTACCTGCCCATCGAAGGGTCATCAAGTCACTGCTGAGCTTGCCCCATTTCTTGTTCTCGCTGAAAGTGCCTGCGCCTTGCTGGGTAGGCAGCGGCTGGACAGCCGACTGGATGGTCTGTCTGTGTCTCTCAAACGCGTTCTCTACTCCTTGTCGGCTGGCGCCGGTAAAGGGGAGCTTCATCGAGGTAGGTCTGGGCTTGGCCATGCTAGCCGTCCTCTCGGCCTTGGGGTCGGGGCCGATGACGTTTCGGCTCTTGGACTCCTTGCCATTGTCGCTGGTGCTGGCCGAGTGGCCGTTTGTGCCATTCTGATAGCTGGACATTGTGGCTTGTGGATGGAATTAGGGAAGGGGGTATTGGGGTATAATGGAAGAAAACCGCAAAAAAACAAGAAGAAGTTTACAGGTAGGTGTGTACCCGTCTTTCAGAGTGAACTGGGGACGGGAGAGACGGGAGAGGGGAGGAATGAACCCTTGAGAAGAAGATCGGGAGAGATAGAGGAAAGGGAAGAGGCGAAGATGATACCTAATAACTGCAATGAAATGCAGTAGGTATACGGTTCGCACAGAGAAGAAACAACCAACGAACACCAGCGGTTGTTCTGATGTCACACAGGTGGTTCACGGCATATCCCACTTTGTACCCCGATGCTTTTTCCTGAGACAGTCAATGAGCTCCCTCCCGTGCTTTCGCTCCAATGATGTCTCGCCATGATGGTCGTGCTAACTAACAATGGTCGACGGAAAATCTCTGAAGGGGGGTTGGCTGTTCGGTTTGTCAACCAGTGTCACTACCTACCTACCTACCTCTACCTATCAGCACGCGTGGG